CTCCCCCATCCCCCCACCTCACCATCCCCCACCCCATTGAGTGTCCCTGCCCTATACCCACCTCAATGATCTTACCCCCCCAAACTCCCAGACCCCTCTGCCCCATCACCCCCCAAGTGATCACCTCCCCGCCCAGTCGCCCCCCCAATATAACACCCCCTTGGCCCCAATCTACCAGCCTCTGTCCCCCCCCCAAAGGCAGCCCCCCCGGCCGCCCCCCTTGGTACCTGTTTGCAGAGCCAGCCCCGAATGACGACGGGGGCGTTGGGGTCCCGCTTGATGGAATTTTCCCTTTTCCCGAAGGTGTGAACCCTCCGCAGGGAGCGCGACGGCTGGGGGGGGGGCAGACAGGAAAGGGTTAATCCCCACACACACACACACACACACACACCAGCCACTAGGGGGCGCCGGCTCCCAGCCGGCCCCAGGGCAGGGAGTGGCTGGCTCAGGGGGGCAGGGAATGGGGCCTGTCCCCTCTAGGGGGCCCAGGTTTGGGAGTAGGTGTTGTGGGAGTTAAGGTGGGAGCTGTGGGCGGGAGAAGAGGAGAGGGTGGATGTGGGGGACAGGGGGGTGGTGGGTCAGAGTCCCTCCCACCCCCACAGGCTGCCCCATGGCAGAGCCCCAGCCCCGCCCCACACACCTTGGCGGCCCCCAGGCTGACGGAGGAGATGGTGAGGACGCTGCTGGCCTGGCTCAGGCTGCTCCTGGGACGTTCCCCGTCGGCCATGGCTCCCGGCCGGCCCAACCCACGCCTGGAACAGAACATGGGCCTGGGGCATCAGGGCACTGCTGTGCGGAAGCTCGCAGCACCAGAGTCCCCAACTGGGGGCACTGCTGCAGGGAAGTTCACAGCACTGGGGTCTCTAGCTGGGGCACTGCTTCAGGGAAGCTCACAGCACCAGGGTCCCTCTTTGGGGCACTATTCGGGGGAAGCTCACAGCGCTGGGATCTCCAGCTGGGGCACTGCTGCAGGTAAGTTCGCAGCACTGGGGTCTCCAGCTGGGGCACTGCTGCGGGGAAGCTCACAGCTCGGGTCCCTGGCTGGGGCACCGCTGCGGGGAAGCTCGCAGTGCCGGGGTCCCAGCTGCGGGCACTGTTGCAGGCAAGTTCGCAGCACTGGGGTCCCTGGCTGGGGCACCGCTCCGGGGAAGCTCGCAGCAGGCAGACAGGCTGGCATCTCCCCTGACCCGGCACGTAGGGTCCAGGGTGGCCCGTGGGTGGGAGAACAAAGCGAGACCTGAGCTAGCGGCAGCCCCAGATTCCCGGGGGGGGGGCGAAGGAGGGGGGGCCCCAAGGGGGGCGGAGGATGAATGGAGCCATTCATGCCCCTGGCCTGGGCACTGGGATGGGGGTGGGAGGCCTGGGCACAGCTGGGGCGGGGGGGGGCTGTGCTAGGGGGTGAGAGCGGCGGCTAGCAAGGCCCCATGGCAAGGGCCAGTGCAAAGCTGCGAGCTTCCTCACAGCAGTGCCCCCAGCCGGGGACCCACCGGCATGGAGTCACGGCCCCATCCCCCCACTACACCCCATCCCCATGGGGACCCCCAATACCCAGACACGGTCCTGCCCCCACCCCGCTATACCCCATCCCCATGGGGACCCCCAGCACCCAGACATGGCCCCGTCCCCTCCCCCCGTATCCCAGCCCCTCGGGACCCTCAGAACGGAGACACGCCCCCCTCGCTACACCCCATCCCCTGGGGACCCCCGGCACCCAGACATGCCCCTCCTCCGACCCGCTATACGCCAGCCCCCAGGACCCCCAGCACCCGACCCAGTAACTCCCCTCCCCCGCTATAACCCGACCCCCGGCACCCAGACAGGGGCCCCCAAAACACGCCCTGCTGCCCCCCCTTACTGCAGATCAATCAAGTGGGGAGCTGAGGCGCCGGAGCCCCGCGCACCCCCGGGCGGACGCCGGGCCCGGGGCGGGGGGATCCGGCCGACAGAGCCGCTGGTTCTGTTCCCAGCTCCGGCTGCGGCGCCGGCTGGGACACAGGGACCAGCTGCCTGCGGGGGCGGGGGGCGCAGGGAGCCAGGAATTCCTGATCCGACACAGCTCGGCCCCACCCCGGGGTCAGAGACCCGGCGGGCCTGGATTTAACCCGTTCCCCGGCTTGGGACACTGCTGGGGGGAAGCTCGCAGCGTCAGGGTCCCCAGCTGGGGCACTGCTGGGGGGGGAAGCTCGCAGCTTCCGGGTCCCTGGCTGGGGTACTGCTGGGGGGAAGCTCGCAGCCCCAGGGTCTCTGGCTCGGGCACTGCTGGAGGGAAGCTCGCAGCGTCAGGGTCCCTGGCTGGGGCACTGCTGGGGGGAAGCTCGCAACGTCAGGCCCCAGCAGGCCCGAGGTATTTAGCTGGAATTCAGAGCAGGACAAAACTCCCTGGTCTCCCCCCTCCCCCCACGGCAGCTGCGTCCCCCCCCGCCCTCCCCCCACATCCCAGAGCCCCCCAACCCCTCCTCCTTGGCTCAGTCGCCCTGGCTGGAGCCC